ACTAATATATATATGCAAATACCCTACAAATTATTCTGTAACACATTTCCATGTGCAAAAAATGATTGTAGTGATATTTATGCTTCTTTTGTAGGCTGGATTATATCAAGCATGGGATGTTTGCCAACTAAGAAACCATTTTTTGCAAATCTATGCTAATTTTGAATCTTTTTTAAGCAATTGTTATAATGTCATATGAAACATAAGGCTGTTAATTATTAAGAACATATTGTTTATTATATGATCATATTATGTAGAGCACATATCACTTGATTATATATTTTTTTGATATCAAAATGTTATGTGTGAAGTTGTCCACCTTGTCTACAGGACTGTATGACTTCAGTGATGCAACAGAAAATAGACACATTACATTACCACAATTAATTATTTAAAATACATATTTATTCCATTCTATAGACATTGCTGCGAGCATAGGGATAAATGATGATACAGATTTGTGGTGTGGAGTTGTGTGCAGCATGTAGGCTGTAGTGTCCATAACAGTAAATGATGTGTAAACATCATAATGGTTTTATGCACATGAATAAGAAGCATTTCAATATGTTTTACTCAATTTTATGTCAGATTTTAAAATAGACAATATTTAAGTACAAATAAATGGATATTCAGTAAACTTTCACTTATATATACTTGCTTTCCATTAAATATTAATGTGGAAATGATCATCTTTTCCATTATTCCAAGATAATATCCAAATTGAGGCTGTGTTACTTAACATTTATTTGTATATCGAAATGAAGACATTTGCCAAAAGTTTACAGTTTACAGGGTTTAACTGCAACATTTAGTAGTTGCAGATTAGTAATCTGTAGTGTCCATAACACTATTGAATGGTTCAAAATTTCTTTATCCCATTTCACAAGATGATAAAGTTGCAAAAACAATTCAAATATTAGCATTTAACAGACTTTTTTTTTTTTTTTTTTGATAAATGTCAGCTTTTGAGCGCTTGACTGTGGGCAACCTGAGGGAGAACAGCAATTGTTGCATTTTTGCAAGAAAATTATCAATATTTATTTGATTTCATTCATTTAATGTTGTTTGTTTTGTGTTTTTGACATTGTTTTGTTTCCCTTTAATTCTGGACCATTACGTATGTAATAACAATTGATTGATTGATCGATCAGTTTTTATGTCCAGACTCTAAAATAAGTAAGTTTGATTCTTCTAGCACATTCAAAATTGACTAAAGTGAAAACAGGGCTTTCCTTCTTTGAAAAATTACAAATTGTAAATTATTGACAGGGTAATAAAAAGAATATTTGTTATTGTCATGTGACAAAGTTGATTCTGCTTTTCTTGTTCATTAACACTGAACTTCATCATAAACATTAAAAGCGTCTTTAATTTGATACATCAAGTAAAAGAACGTCATATACTCATTCTCCACCTTCATGGACTGCTTTGAGACAGTAGTTTATGATTAAATTATTGTAAATGCTGAGAGCTCTAACATCTTCACTAGTGAACCACTCTGCCTGGAGGCACATGAATCACTTTTTTTTTTTTCCATATAATGGGCTAATTGTGTTTTGGTGCGGAGCTGTTATAGCATAATTGAATTTTCTCCTTTATTGCCTGGGAGAGCCTCTAAGGGCATCAGTGTTGAATTTCTGCCGACAAAGGGGAATGAAGTGTTAATTTCTGCTTACAAGAAGAAAATCTCTTGCCATGATCTTCTGATCTAGTTAAGGTTGATTGGATGATTTACCGCAGACGTTCCTTAAAGGAAAACCAAGCAGACAGCATATCTGGATCATTTCTCTTCCATGAAACTAATGCTACTGTAATACACCGGGGAAGAGGCATGTTAGGTCTTGCGGGAAACTCTAGATCACCATAACACATCATTTCATTTCCCCTACCAAGAGAGTGCACAATCTATATAAACCTCAGGAATTATTTTACACTGTCTAAGCAAAACATAGTCAAAAATCAAAATTATATGGACAAGATGAGAAGATAACTTGCTTATATTCTGCTGTGTTTGGTTGTTTTTGTACCATTTAACACCCTCCCTTCCTTAGATCTCCTTCTCCTGCTCCATCTACTCCCTGGATTGTTTCATAGCATGATGCATGGCCTCTTATCCCATTAATGCAAGGTGAATGAACCACTAGGCCAACATGACATCCTCAACAGCAGCACTATGAAACTATTCTGTGTTAAGAGCTCATCTTAAAGCTCTTAATGTGAGCCCGTATAGTGAGATAACTCAAATACAGCCACAAACCAGCCAAGACTGATGACACTTCTGGATTATCATACTTTTCATATTGAATTTTTAAATGTAATTAAATTAATAAATTTAATCCTTTCAGCTTTTTACATACTAAAAAAAAAATCTGATTTTTGCAAATTCCCAAGTTCTGCCTGTCAGTAAGAATAAATCCAAAGACTTTATATTTAATATTTTTTTATTAAATTATTTATTTAAACAGGTTGTAGTTGAGATCAAAATCTATTTTTCAAGAGAGACCTGTTTACAAAGAACCATATAGATAATAGATAATACATGATCACAAATTAAGAAAAAAAAACATTTGCAATAGTAGTTTGAGATAAATGAACATAACCTTTAAAATATCCCAGTGAAATCAGAGAATGTAGCTTCATAGTTTTTGCTTGTTTGTTTGTTTTTAAGCTTATCACATTTATGCGCAGCAAAAACATTCAAAACAAGTGAACCAGTGAATTAGAGGTAATGTTAATGTGTCCTGTGACTTGATATTGAAAGTATGCTACTGTGTTTAAATTGAAGCAGGGAGCAGAGGCAAGATTCTTGTAAAATAAATAAATAAATAAATAAATAAATAAATAAATAAATAAATAAATAAAACAAACATATATACAATGCTGCTCTTTTCAATTCGCTAGTGAGTCTCCCCACTTTTGAACTGTACGTACAGTACATACAGTGCATATTACCGATGTGCTGACGCGAACTGTGAACCTGTTATTAATGGAACAACCCCGCCACCATGTGTTCACTTCCAGAATAACACCAACACGTTTGGTTTTCTTTTTTAAAATTACTTTGGTCATTTTGTGACTTTAAATCGAATAAATATCCACATTAAAATGTATTTTATGTATTCTTGTATTTCTGCTATGGGCGTAGCCAGTATCAGGGCAGAAGAAGGAGGTGTACTAAACTTTAACTGTAACAGCGTAAACTCAAACTACGCCACAAGTGTATAAAAACTGCCTCATGTGACAGAAATACCACATTAGCTATCTGTGCAAAGCTCATGTGTAATTTCACTCCCTCTCTTATCAATACGCCAGAAGTGAACCATTATACATTATATAACTACTACAGTTTACTTCTCTGTATCTATTTCCTTAACTGATGAGGTCCATAAAGGGTCGCCTCCAGTATGAAACCCGGATCTACTTCACTATAAAAGAGGGAGGGATTGAAGTGGAAGAGTCCAAACTCCTGCCATGGCTCCAGCAGCGTTGGCTAACCGAGGGTGGAGGGCTGTGACCCTTGCGGGTACAGTGACGGGCTCCAGGTCAAGTCACACTGCTTTAAAATCAAATTACGACGCATTGGTCATCGGTGGAGGTGAGATTTGTGGACTGTAGGAAAGAAATGCAGAGAGCGACGTATACTGTAATAACGGGCGATAGATTTTGCAAAAACGATAAATCTGAGTTTGCAGGATTGTAGTATAATTTCGTAGTAAAATAAATATTGCATTCCAAGATAACTGAATTTACTCCGTTTACGGCTGTGCATAGTTTAATCTTAATTATTCAACTTTGAACTCATTACTGCAGGGCACACTGTATACACAAAATATTTTAAAAACCTAATTATGGAACAACTTTTTGAAACTTCATGCATCGGAATCGGTTTTTAAATTGCGTATTTTACATCTCTTTGTAGGACACAACGGACTGGTGGCAGTGAGTTTACTTATTTACTTCCTAACACCTGCTTTTGCAGTAGGGTTTCAGTACTGTGGTGAAGGTGATGTGTGCTTTGTATGCCTGTAGGCTGCATATCTTCAGAAGGGAGGTCTGCAGGCAGCAGTGCTGGAACGCAGACATGTGCTGGGAGGTGCAGCTGTTTCAGAGGAAATCTTCCCTGGTAGGAAGCTCAAGGAAGCTTGAAATAGCTTATGTTATTACCAGTGTTGGGCAAGTTACTTTGAAAAAGTAATTAATTATAGTTACTAGTTACTTCTTCAAAAAAAGTAACTGAGTTAGTAACGGAGTTACAATATTGTAAAAGTAATTAATTACTTGAAAAGTAACTATTGCATTACTTTAAAAAAATGTTTAAATAATGACTATCTAATAGCGCAACCTATTTAAAGGTGGGAGGCTATGCCCGACGTGGTCGTTACAATCACCAGCCAATCAGGATTGGTAGAGATACAGAAGATACATGCTTCATGCAGGGAGGTGGATCCCGTAGTGAGATATCGCACTCATGCTACTCTGGGAACCTTAGGTTATGCAAGTAACCTAAAATTTTACTCCTCTAAGAGAAATTACATTGGTTTGCAGGTTTCCGCTTCTCTAGGTGTTCCTACTTGCTCAGTTTGTTAAGACCGCACATATACAGAGACCTGGAGCTCAAGGTACACAAAACCAGAATCACAAAGAAAGATTCTAGATATCATGAGATAATATCAGTCCTCAGCCTTGCTGCAGTTCATCATTTTTTTCCTTTTTTTTTTTTTTACAAATTCAGAAACATGGGCTGAAGGTGTATATGAGAGACCCCCATGCCTTCACCCCCTTGTTGGAGGAAGGGGTGAGAGGTGCTCCTCCACGTTCTCTCACTCTGGGCTCAGATCTGGCCAGCAACCAGATGGAGATCGGCAAGTTCTCACAGAAAGATGCTAAGGTGATTTAGGTTTGAAAATAAACATAATAAGTAATTGTTCATTTAGGCTGATCCAAAAAACTGTTCTTTGCCTTGTTGGACCTTTATTTCTGTGTGATACAATCCCACACACCTTTGCTTACTTACATCTTCACCTATTCCTCAACATACATACAGGCTTATCCTGAATTTGTTGCACACTTGGAGAGGCTAGCAGATGCTATGAACCCTCTCCTGGATGCTCCACCTGTAGATATTCCAGGTTTCACTTCTGGATCACTGAGACGGAGGGTGGCTGCAGCTAAAACACTGATGCCCATCTTCAGATGTGGTGGGTTGGTTTATTTTTTTAAACCATTTTTTATTCTCCAATACTAGCTTATTTAGCAAGCACTTAATTTGTATACTGCATTAATTTAGTCATGAATATTTCTGGCTCTTAATCTAAAGGTCTAAAACTGGGCAAAAACCTTCCAGACTTCTATGAAATCATAACTGCTCCAATAATGAAGGTTGGTTAGCAATTAAACAAAGTCATTAGTTCCTCTTATTTTTAGATTGCATAGATAACGTGTGTTTTGTGTGAAAGATTCTCACTCAGTGGTTTGATTCTGAGCCACTGAGAGCCACTCTGGCTACTGATGGTGTAATAGGAGCCATGACCAGTCCTAGTAATCCTGGCAGTGGGTGAGACACATTTTACAGCAGCCTATGACAACCAAACTCTCGTAATCTTAGATCTAGCTGGACAGAATTACAAGTGACTTGATGGTTTTGACTTGCAGGTATGTTCTCTTGCACCATGTGATGGGAGAGGTGGAGAAGGAAAAGGGTGCCTGGGGTTATGTAGAAGGAGGCATGGGAGGTGTGTCTCAGGCTATTGCTAGTGCTGCTCGATCTTATGGTGTTGACATCTTTACAGAAAAGGTAATCACATTGATTTGATGTTGTTTATTTCATGGATTTATGGGAAATTATGTTCTAGCTTCCCTAACTTCTTGCATTTATCTTTGGCAGGATGTAAGCCAGATCCTGGTCGGTTCAGATGGTGATGCTAAGGGTGTGGTGCTAAAGGACGGCACAGAAATCCACAGTAAAGTTGTTTTATCAAATGCTACCCCATATATTACCTTCAAAAACCTGACACCACAGGTAACTCAGAAAACTGAACATCATTTCTAAGCAACGCTCTGAACAAAGTCCCTTATTCTGACCTCTTGTATCACTGCAGTCTGCTCTTTCTTCAAAATTTATCAAAGCAGTAGACCAGATCGACTACACTTCACCTGTTACCAAGATCAACGGTGAGTCTTTCATCAATCAGAACTTAAAGTTAAGACTCGCAATATAATATACTGAGGTAAAAACTTACATCTTTTAGTCATGTTTGGAAAAATGGTTTGTTTTGGTGGGTTTTGTATCACATGTTTAATCCTATGAAGAAATTGGGTCTCAACAGTTGTTCAGCTTCCAGTGCGATGTCATCAGAAGTCCATGTCTTCTGCACACTCGACCAAAATTTGAAGTTTATTAAGAAAATGAAGCACATACACTAATTCCATGTCATTTTACCTGTTGTGATCTCTTCTTTCTTTCTTTCTTTCTTTCTTTCTTTCTTTCTTTCTTTCTTTCTTTCTTTCTTTCTTTCCTTTTCTTTTTAACAGTGGCAGTAGACAAGTTGCCAAATTTCTTAGCATCTCCCACACCAGGTGATAAACCTGGACCACACCATCAGTGCTCAATCCATCTGAACTGCGAAAGTGTGGATGTTTTGGAAACAGCATATAAGGAAGCAAAAAATGAACGACCCTCAGCAAGGTGAACATGTCTTCGCATAAGTGTTCTTTTAAACATGTCAGATTTGTGCATGCCAAATCAAGCTGAAATGTCCCACTGAGGGAAGAATAGAATAGAATAGAATAAGCCTTTAATTGTCCCACAAGGGGAAATTCGGGTGTTACAGCAGCAAGAAAGACACATATACAAACAAACAGTACACAAGACACAGAACAGAAACATACACAATTTTTACATATTTACATCAAGGACAATGGTTACAAAAGATGTTCTGGGGAAGAAAAGAAAATGTTAATGTTCAAGCACAGATTTGTGCAGTGCACATGGACAGTTCTTAGTGTACTGGAAAATACAGGGCAAAGTTTTAGGTGCTTGTTACTGAGATAAGGGATTAACTGTGTAGTTGCAAATGGTAGAATGTATTAAAGTGAGTAGTGTGAATGTTTAGCACTTCAACCTTAAAACCTTTGAGATTGTACAATAAAATATCCTTTCTCATATAGTTTAATACAATTTTTTTAGTTTATGTATTTTCAACATATATTTTTCCAGGTTACTCACATAAATAGTCCACGTGCAGTATCCTTATCTCACAGATAACACTTACTTACCCTTGAACTAGTTAATGTTTACATCCCGCTAAGGATAAAAGAATTCACACTCAGCACTTACTTGAACATTATCACCCAAATATATCTTTAAAAAAATCTTCATCCAACATGTTTGTCAATCCATCATCTCATTGCATCATGTTCCTCTGGTCTTGTAGGCCTATGGTGGAAATGACCATCCCCTCTGTGCTGGATCCTACTCTGGCTCCCCCTGGCTGCCATGTGGTGTCACTTTTTACCCAATTCACCCCCTATTATATAGAAGGCAGGGAGTGGACAGACCAGGACCGGGAGTCATTTGCAGACACTGGTTAGAAACACAAATGCTCCACTCTCTGGACTTCTTAATGTTTTGAGCATGCCAAACATGTTTACTGCTGGTAGATTTAGTTCTAGCTTACTATGGCAGTATGTTTGTTTAGATTCACAGTCATCCAGTTCATAGTAGTCTTAAGATCTTAAAGGTGACTGGACTTCTTGACGTTTTTTGAAGATGTTCCACCTCCCAGCCACTTACAACATTTCCAAGCACCTTTTCACCATCTCAGCTGTGCTTGTGGGTAACATCGCATCATATCAAAAACTCTACTAACTTCAAAACAAAAGCCTTGAACGTACACTAAATCTACATGAAACCATAGTGTCCTTTGATGTGGTCTTGCTTTTTACTTATATACCTGCAACCAAGGCAGTGGCAACTGTGAGAAACTGATTACAGCAAGACAGCTCCTTACACAACAGAACCAGCCTTACCTCGATCAGATTTGTACACTGTTAGACTTCTACCTCAGCAGCATGTATGTTAAATGCAACTATTTTTTGGTGTGGGGGGTTGGGTACTGCCATGGACTTCCCATAGCCAACCTTTCCATGAAGGAAGTGAAAGTAAAGCTCTTTGGCTCTTTCAAATTAATAGCACCTAACCTAGCCACAGTAGATATGTGGATGACACCTGGGTCAAAATCCAAGAAGTAGAAGCCTTCAGTATTCATGTGACCTCAGTGGATAGAAACATAAAGTTTACCAGGGAAGATACAAAGATTAATGGTTTGCTATTTCTGGCTGTGTGCATTGAGGAGGATGGAAGCCTCAAAATCATAGTTTACCGAAAAACACACACACACACACACACACCAGTAGCTACTCTTTGACTCCCACCACCTACTGAAATGTGAACTTGGGGTGATCAGGAACCTGCAACACCAGGCAGAAAGTGTTCCCTCTTATCCAGAAAGGGAAACAATGGAACATATAAGTAAAAAAAACTCCCAAAAAATGTGGTTACTCCAACTGGGCCTTCATCAAATCAGCAAAAATGCACAAAAATAAGGTGATAAACCAACAAGGGAGAAACAGAATGACAAATGGAACCACATTGTCATCACTTATGTAGCAGGTTTATCAGAGGAACTATCAAAGCATGATGTTCCAGTTCACCTGAAACCTCTGGTTGTAGTGAGCCACACCTTTTGTCAAACCTTGGCTCATGTATGGGATAAAACCTACTAGCATTTAAATACCTGAAGATACCTGGATGAGACCTTAACCCTCTTTAAAAAACCTAAAGAAGTCCAGTTACCTTCTTTTCAAGCTCTAAAGCCTCACTGTAGCAGGCTTCAATGACACTGAAGGGAACTTTCTTAGACATTTTCTTACTGTTTAAATGGAACAATGAAGTTTACAAAGTTTACAAATTGACTGGTGAATCTTAGGAATATATTTTCTCCAAAATTATTAAAGTATTCAAATGAATTGCACTCTTTAAATGTCATGTATGTTGATTAATGTGTTTGAGTGAAAAGCATGTCTGTTTCTGTCTCCTCAGTGTTTGACTGGGTAGAGCAATACGCCCCTGGGTTTAAAAAGTCCGTGGTGGGCAGGGACATCCTGGCCCCTCCTGACCTGGAGAGGATCTTTGGGCTCACTGGAGGGGTAGATACTATGCACTGTGGATGCTGTAGCACTGAGCAACACTTTGAATGTTGACACGCCACTTATTTGTTTGACACAGTCAGCTGTTCACTGGATGAGGAAGTCATTTGCATTATTTTCAGTGTTCAGTCATTAACTGCCTACTTTGGGACGTGGCTGTTGTATAAGCAGTTAAGGGTGACAGGCAGTTTTACTACAGCACGAGCCAGAATCAAAGTTCACATTAACTGTGTGACACTTAATCGCTTAACTGCATTTGCTTCTGCCTCCTTTGTATGAAGAAAACAGTAATTAACCACAAGGGAGGCTATTTTTCTACTTATAGCCATGGAAGGAAAAACAAAAGGGAAATTTTAACTTTTGGTCTTGTTTTTACAGAATATCTTCCATGGATCAATGTCACTGGACCAGCTCTACTTAACACGACCCTTGCCCTCTCTCACAGACTACCGCTCACCAATTAAAGGGCTCTATCTGTGTGGCAGTGGCTGTCATCCAGGTTTGCTTTTAATGCTCAGCTGAACACAGAATTACAAATAAGGCTGTTTATTATGTTGTACAGTAATAAATACAGTGTTAGCTGGTCTTAGAGAGCGCACTTAATGAACCTTTGATCTTAAGATGTGCCCATGCCTTCACTGCTGATGATAAATGACGGCCAGGATGGCTAATTTTTCCATGTCGATATGTCATTTTCAGGTGGGGGTGTGATGGGTTCCCCTGGCTGGAATGCAGCCCTTACCGTCATCGCTGACTTGAAACGTCGCTGAGGGCATTATTGGATAACATTGTGTGGTCCACTTATCTGTGCACTACATTTCTTTAGAGTGAATGTGACTAGTTTAAAAAAAATCAATGTCATATTACAACAAAAAACAGCCACTTGTTAGATTAACTTATGATTAGATCATTATGATTTAATAGTTAAATGACTGACGTAATAATACAAATGACATGGGATTAAAAACGACAAGTAGAGCGCAATAAAACAGGTCTGGACAGGAAGGCCACGTGAAAGGTTTACCAGTGGAAAAACACTAAATCAACACCAACCTGTGAGCCAGCGGAAAATTACTGATGCCACCAAAGCAAACTGAATGCAAACGTATTATTAGAAAAACTAATTCTTGTTTTAATTAAACTAACAAAAACTGTGAAGTGATGATACTCATGCACAAAGGAACATTTTACTACTCTATTTGAATACTTTTAAATAAACTGAAGCCATGTCTAATTTCCTTTAAACCATGTATGATTGTTTGTTTCTTATGTTGCCTTTATTTCACTTGGGGCTGATTTCACAGCTTAGAGTGTTATGATACTAAAACATAGGTGTTTTCCAAAAGAAATAGCTTGAAGCAATTGTATTTTACCCACATGATAATATACAATTCTGTTTTAATAATTTTCTGTTGTGAGACATGCCCTGTCCTGTCCTGAAATTAATGGTGGATAACTCACAAAATGTGACCTAATCGGTTTTAAATTCAATCTTTTACTATGTATCTTTTGTTGGTTATTAAAATCATTTTAACAGCTTAGAAATATCTTAAAACCTTATTAATGCAAATTAAAGTTGATTTATCTTTTCCACACCCTGAAAGGATATTCTTGGGGGTTTTCTTCTTCTTCTTCTTTTTTAAAAAATACATCCATTTACACTGAGATTATATTACAGCATGAGTGAGCTATTAACTAATACATTTTTAAATAATTAATTTATCACAACTGCCCCAATAAATTAACAATGACATAAAATTAATATTCAACAGGACTGAATTCAACTTATTAGTTTCGCATGTGGCTCTTTGGGAAAGTTGTGTTAGTGGATAGTAAATCAGTGTATCCTATAATATTTGTATCTGTTTATAATCATTATATTAATTAAACATGATATTGCATTAGATATTAAACCTAACGCTGTTAACGTTATTTAAACACGTGGTCCATTGTTAAGCCATTCTCTGATAAGGTCTCAGCCGTTTAGAAATCGATAACCGTGTCCTGTGCCTTTAAGACGCCAGTCAGGGTGGACCCAACGTCGGCGTTAGACGCTCAGGAAGTGGATTAAACCACCAAAGATTCCCGCAGATTCGATACCGATTGTCCCAATGTTAGATACGTGTTCGTGCTAACCTGAACGTTTGGCCGAGCACGTTTATGGGCTATTTAGGACGATAATGCTGGATGGTTGCGCTCATGAAAATCACCAGGGATATATGCAGGCTGTTGGGACTCGGGAGCGGTAAGAATTCTCTCCCACTTTTCGAAACTTTCTAAACTGGTTAGATCGATCACGGACGTAATAACGAAACGCGTGTGACACGGCACATTTGGAGGACAGCTAACTCGTGAGTTACATAAACGACGTGATTGTGATATTGCTTCCCATTTGTGTTATCCTAGTGATCAAACTGAGCTCTTGGTCAAACAATGAAACTTCTCTTGGCAGTTACACCCTCGCCTGTACCACTTCCAAGTTTGGGCAGTAAAAAAAGGAAAAAGTTCTCAGAAAATCCAAAACGCTCTCTTACACTTTCTCGCTCACGAAGCAAATAGTTATAAAGTTTACAAGCTGAAGTACACCATGTATAAAAGACAGAGATAAAGTAATGTGTGCTATAAAAAAGCAAAACAAAGGTAAATGCATTCTTCGGTGCGTGTTAGTATGATAACAATGTCTTAGATAGGGGCACAAGCCCCACAGCACAGAACGAGTTTATACGCAGATTGAAAGTACTGTATGAGCTTAAAACATGTCTTTAAATAACGTGTTATGTTCCCACATGTTGTTGTTCTTCTTCGCTTAACATGTTAACAGGTTTGCTTATGTGTGGCTCCTCTCTACAGCTGCTGATCTACACACCTTCGTCGACATTTAAAAACTTTTAGGCATGCCTTGCCAACTTTAGCATTACTTTGGAGTATAGGAGTACACATCTGGTGTGAGTAATCCTATTAGCATTTATGGAAAGCGTGGGAATACTAGATGAGAAATACACACAAACAAAATGGGATGAATAAAGTATGTGTTGTAGCAGGCAGCAGTTTCAAATTATGTTTATTTATTAATATATGAATGTGGGAATTCCCCAGTTTATCATCCAAAAGTAGGGGAATATCTATTTGCAAAAGAGACTGGTTTGCATTCCTTCATTCTTAAATCCAGATATTACACCTCTGTGAAGGTGTAATAAAGAGCTTAGATACTACAGAACAGTGAAAGATTTCTAGCATTTTTTTTTTAACGGCGTCAGTTAGTAATCTCACTGATGAAGCAGTTCAGTTAAAGTGCTATAGACTTGGTTTCCTGCCACTCCAACCATTACTGGCTTTGCAGTGGTAGTGTGAGAGTCTGTAGGTGGTGCATATGCTTAATTCTTGTAACTGTTCCCAGAGTGAAGGTGTGGATAAAAAGCCATACCTGGAGAGGTGAACAAGGGTCATTGTGGTTATAGACTGCTGCATCAATGTTGCTTTTAGCTGTAATAGTGTTTCTGTATTGTTCAGAGCTCTCTGTTAGCATTTTAGAGGAGGTGGCACTCAGCTGGTCCGCCTTTTACTTTTTATCTTTTTTGCTAACACTTTTTTTGTGTGCTCACATAACTTTTATGCCAGTACACAGTAGGGTTATGTTGAACCTGCTAATGCAAGAAAGCTTTGCTGTGTCAAACTGGCTTCGTAGTGTACCTCCCCTGAGATCTTTAATGATTTTTCTTCTGTTGATTTCTGATGTAATGCAGTTGTTTTCACTCAGTCTCACGCAGAACATTTGTGCCTCGCAGCCATGTACTCTGCAAATAACAAAACAAAACGTGTGATCGTTTCTATTTCCTACATTGTTTACATGTTTCTGTGTTTAACTGGTTTACACAACCACTTAAAACCACTGGCATATGATTAAGCAGTGCCTGTTTGAATAATAAGGTCATGCTTTCGTGAAGAAAAGTGTGGACCTGTGCAGTTTATTTTCTTGTTGGTCCTCCAGCCTGTGATGGTACGTGATTATTTTGCATTCCTGTGGAAAGAGCTCACCTTTCAGCTGTACACTAATTTAGGAAATTTCCTTGAAGTGTAGAAACAGAGCCTCTCTTGTTGCTCGTGTCTACCGATCTTGTATCACTTGTGTTTTTGGAGGACATTCCAGTATGGTAAAATTTTTACCGACGGCCTGGTTCAAATGAGATGGAGTTGTTAACAGTGCTTATTTCTTGACATTTGAGCAGTGAGTCAGGCGCACACAACTGAAATTCCTTGCTGTCACTATGCATCCTTGGAGGCGCATTGTGATGACAGGCTGGCTCTTTAACAAAGCCAGTGAGAGACATTTATATGTGAAGACACATCCCCCCCGGATGTACTTGAATTCACATGGAATTCCAATTCCATACAATTACAATTACTTTTATTTTCTTATGTTTTTTGCATATTGTTTAAAATGTGGACGGCACCACTAAAGGACAGGCATACACAGAATTAAGAAGTTAAGTAGCTACTTGGTGTGTCTAGTTTTGTTGTATGACATTGATAACAGTTGAATGTAAAGTGTAAAACCTGTCAATGCTTCACAAGTCACAACATGAGTAAGAGACCAAGTATGGGATTTGTCACTCTCTGGAAATCTTTGCTGATCAAATAGAAACATGACACCACATGTATTCCGGCGTAGTCCACTACTTTGCTTCCTTTTGTCTTGTCGTGTGTCTGCTGCAGTTTGACCTGAACGACTACAGTTTTGGCTTGATCAAATAAGCTGCCCCCCCTCCCCCAAGCGTATGTACACAAAATCCCACATTTAGAGCAGTGGCTTTGCTTTTCTTTTTCCTCTTCTCAGTACTCCAGCTTCTCAGAAAGCAGTACTCAGGCCAGCTGTATGTGTTGTGTGGTGGGCTTGTGGCAGTGCTAAAGATAATTATTACTAAATGCCTCTCAAAGACCTCAAAGAAACAACCTGATTTGGCGTCTCTGAGCAATTTTCAGTTCTGTTTCCTTTATTTTATTTTACATGCTTTTCCTGGTGGTTCATATAAGAAAGGATTACATAATCCTTCCTGTCTCCACCCAGTGTTGTTTAAAAATTTGGCACATCATCACTGGTCATTGTGGTTAGACCGGAATATAAATGAGACAGGCTAACCTAACACACAGAAAACTCTTTAATATAACACAGTAAGGTAACTTGAAAATGTTGGAACAGAGTTTTTGTACCCTCCTTTGCTGCTGGGGATGCCTGCTGCTTGCTTTTAATCTTTTCTTGGTTGATAGAGGCTGAAATGAATAAAGGAAAGAGAAGCGTGCGGTCATATTAAATGATGGTTCTGCCCATCTCGTCTCATATTACACTATGCATTTTCACAGAGAGTTTTTTACCTTTTCCCCTGACAGGGAAGGACATTTTAAATGGCGTGTCAAGCTATGTTGCTGAGTGGGGTGGGGGGTGGGGTGGGGGGAAGAAAAGTGTGTCCTTATCTAGCTACATTCTGATGATTAGTATTTTTTAATACAGTATGGCTCACAGGAACAAGAGTGTAGCTGTTTCTTAAAATAGATAGATAGATATCCTTATATATATATATATATATATATATATTTAAAAAAAAAAAAGATGATGATTTCAGTTTGTGTATTTCCTGAAGGTCCTGTGGTCCAGGAGGAGCAGATGGACTGTGGTGCTACAAACCCTGACCCAAGTGCCACCATTGCGCAGGTAAACAATTGGTGCCAGGCTGACAGGACCTAGTGAGGACTGTAAGGGTGAGGACATTAATGATCCATTTCTCTGAATATTTGGTTTTCTAGGATGCATTAAATGGAGAGGAGGAGTTGAGTGATGAGGAGAAAGCAAGGCGGAAGGCAGAACGACGCAAAGCCAAGAGGAAGGTGAGAGGAAAAGCCCATCTTGCTGGAAATCTATATGTCAAAGGATGTCATTCGTTTTCTAAAGTGTACCTGTGCATCCATTTCAGCGTCGTCGAAAACGTAAGAAGCAGGAGCAAAATAAGCAAAATGACAACGCTGAACAGGTAAAGATTTTAATATTCCCCTTGGAAGTGCACCCTCCTTTAGCGTCTGTGGGGTGGAAATCTAAATATTCAGCTCTTCCTCCACATTAGGATGACGAAGAGGATGGAGGTGCAGAATCTGAACTAGACGAGAGCGATTCCGAAGCAGAAGTTGGGGGTGAAGACGAGAAACAAAGGGCGCAAAAAGGAGTGCAGAAAGAAGAGAAGGAGGGAAA